TAGTATTTGTTTGTTTGTTGTTTAACGCCGCACTCAGCAATATTCCAGCATAGTCGCCTTTTACGGCAAGCATTGGTTGCTGAAGACCTATTCTACCCCGGATCTTCATAGGTCAGTTTGGTTGTTGGTTGGTTTGTTGTTTAACGCCGCACCCAGCAATATTCCAGCTATATGAGGGCGGTCTGTACATAATCGAGTCTTGACCAGACAATCCAGTGATTGACATCATGAACACTGCCTTTCACTGTAAGCATGGGTTGCTGAAGACCTATTCTACCCCGGGTCTTCACGGGTCGGGTCAGTAGTTGTAGTAAGAGCAGTGTACAGTTCACAGGTTCTCAGAGTTTGTAAACAAAAGACCTTGCGGGGATGCCTCTTAGCATGTGTCTTTGGTGAAGTGTTAGCGGGGGAAATAGATATTGAAACGTAACGACAGTGTTATGGTTGAGAGATGGTTGGCCCTGAAAAGACTAACTCACACGCAATGACACAGGCACGGATGGGTCGCCATCTTCTGACTGGACACTTGCTGGCGTGGGTTAAACGTCGCACGTACGTGTCTTTCAGTTAGGTATGGCAATACACACACTTAATTTGAATGTCCTGTCACATGCTATAGTGCCATGGGCATACACAGGTAGGCAGCATTTGTAAACGACCTCCAAATCCCAGTTCTCCCTGTTGCTGCCATAGAATGCAGTCACACCTCCCCTCCCCTAATCATATAGTAGGGCTCAGCCAATCAGAAAAGCCCCAAGGCATGATGTCATCACACGCGCACTGGTGATGTCGTTGGACCCTATATAAACTCGGAATACTAAATGTATCTAAGGTGTTTCTGAGGCCTAATGAAACGCAAGAACAGAATGACGTGGCCTACTTTTAGAATACAGTACCACAAACGTTTCAAACACGTCACAATTAACACCCTATGACGTAATTTGTAGGATTTTGTTGCCAGACACACCGGCGAAACAATGCCCTGTGACGTCAGGGTTCATCGAGTGTGCATAAGCTCCTTCCAGTGATCTATCATCTTTACACGCAATGCCACTGAATAAGCCCAGGGATGTTGAGAGTTCTCAATATTTGTTTACTAAATAAAACCTCCCTAGTTTATGAAAGCACATTTCTTTTAAATTTTCAATATAAATTTTTATTTCTTAATTCAAGTGTCTAAAATGATTATAAATGGTAACTAATATTCATATATTATTTTTTAGATTCATTTATTTTCATTATTGGAGTTGAACACATCCAAATGTCGCCGGTGTTAGGGTCGGTTTACCCCGAACTCTATCCTCAGCCCTTGGATCCCCTTTATAAGAATCACCCCTATACGATCATTAGGGTTAGGTACCCGCTTAGTGGCTGTATTAGATTACCCGAATTCTATCCTCAGCCCTTGGATCCCCTTGACGATCTATCACCCCTAGCTTCAATTTACGGTCATTTGGGTCAGGTACCCGCTTCGCGGCTATTAGAGATTATTTAGTGGCTCCTAATATTCTTCACGCAAAAATGTCGAGAAAGCAGCTGAAATGGTTCAGTGTCGAATGTATGTTGGCCACTGGAAACTCTCCAAGAAGCCACACGTTCACCCGCTACATTTATCTATTCAGTACTAATTTAAAAGCGAACTCACCCTTGTGCCACCCTCGCCCCGCCTCGCCCCGCCCCGCCCTGCCTCGCCCCCGCCTCGCCCCGCCTCCTTCTTCTTCCTCTCCCACCTCCGCGCATGCGCCCCCAAAACGTTTCCGTCCCGTCCCGCGAGATGCCGTCACTTCCGGCGAGATCCTGTCATATGGCCGGACGTGACGCCATCTTGTCGTATTAGGGCGTATTTTCCAAGATGGTGGCACTTCCGGTTCCGGTGTATCCCAGCATGCAAGTAGGAGTCTGTGTATCGTTTCAGGAGTATCATGCATTGAGAGTGAATATGGTTTTACGCCGCTTTCAGCAATATTCCAGCCATGTGACGGCAGGGAACACCAGAAATGCTCTTCACATATTGTACCCATGCGATGAACAGAACCCGGACATTTAACACTTAATTATACCCGGGCCTTTAACACTTTCAAAGTGTTAATTATCCTTCAAGTGACGAGCGTCCAATATGCAATGCAACCTAGGTATATTACAACGCTTAAGGTCTTAATTACCCTGCAAATGACCAGCGTCCAATATGCAAAGATGTTCTATTACACCTCGACACCATCAGGGAGTCTAGAAAAACAAATATACTACCTTGATATATTACAACGCTTAAAGTTTTAATTATCCTGTAAGTGATGTTTGTTTGTGTGTTTGTTTAACGTCACACTCAGCAATATTCCAGCTATATGACGGCGGTCTGTAAATAATCGAGTCTGGATCAGACAATCCAGTGAGTAACATCTTGAGCATCGATCTACGCAAACTGGGATACGATTACATGCATCAACCAAGTCAGCGAGCCTGACCACCCGATCCCGTTAGTCGCCTCTTACGACAATCATGGGTTGCTGAAGACCTATTCTAATCCGGAATCTTCACGGGACTATCCTGCAAATGACAAACGTCCATTATCCAATGATATTCCACAAAACAAACCATCTACGGTCATAATGCGTGTGGTTTGACACGATGTGATATCGTGTTTGGGTGGTGGTTTTCGTTTCACCCTCGTATAAACTGCCGGGCAAAAGAAAGTATACACTTGAAAATTGGATAACCCCAAACTAACAAATGATATCAAAATATTACTACTCTGAAAACAGTCGCCGAAACACTGCAGCCTTGAGGTCCAAAACACAACCACGATATACCCATTTCAAATACATCGCCATTGAATAACCATGTTTCAGTGTAGCCACCATCAGACATGGGTGTATACTTTATTCTGTGGGGCAGTGTATATATGGACTAAGGTTGGTCGATCGGTCGGTGCAGCGAAAATTGGAAAACATATTCTCGCTTTAACACATGATTAAACTGAGTTGCAAAACTAATGGTTTAACTCCCATTGTCAAATTTAAAATATGAGGTGAAAGTGTCGTGTAAAGTTATCCGAATGTCCACATTACTGAATACTATAGTGCACTGTATTTTCTATTTCCGTGTATTTTAAACAACCTTTTAAAATTTATCAATCAAATTAATACGACCGAGTGCCTATAGAATGTTTTAGAGGGCGGAAATTGGTTTTGAGGAAGCTTTATTCAATATCCTAACAAGAGCAAATCTGGCTCAAGTGCTGACAGTTTCAGATTTTCTCCCAAAGGTTTGAAATATCGGCGTTACGCATATTTTAGTTATGCTTATGTATAATTTTTTAAATCCAAAACTTGTAGGTGGTAAAATTAAATAAATAATTCAATCTTGTCCACAATTTTCATTTTTAAGTGCGACAAAGATGGTATTGTCATACCTTTTCTCATTGTTCGTTTCAAAACACTGATGAGCGAGTGAGTCTTGTGTTACGTCGCATTAAGCACTGTTCCAGCAATATCACGGAGAGATACCACAAATGGGCTTCACGCACTATACCTATGTGGGGTATCGAACCCGGGCCTTTTACACTCTCAAAGTGTTAATTACCATGCAAGTGACGAGCGTCCAATATGCCTGTGCTCTATGTCACCAACACCGTTACACCATCCGGGAGTCTAGAAGTCGGCTCAGGCTGCCCAAACTTAACGATGAACGCATTGCAGTTTTATACCCGGGGCGGTCGGGTAGCCTAGTGGTTAAAGCTTTCGCTCGTCACGCTGAAGACCCGGGTTCGATTCCCGACATGGGTACAATGTGTGAAGCCCATTTCTGGTGTCCCCCCGCCGTGATATTGCTGGAATATTGCTAAAGCGGCGTAAAACCATACTCACTCACTCACTTTAATAATTACCTTCGGCCCAGCAACGAGAATCACGAAAACGACGCCAAATTTATGCAAATTTTAATTATGTGTAAATCATAATGTGAAGATAATGACATGGCTATTTAGAGCCAAAGCATGTGGAGCAGATCATTGCATGTGTCGTATATGACACGAGGTAAGACAATCAGTATTTATCTGTTTAAGACACATTGAATCAATACTCAAAGGGGGAATTCATGAATGGGATTGGGCGCCCGCATGGATTTGTGAATGGGCGAAATACGAACGAATGAACGGCCGGGCTGATTGGTGCGTGGAAGGATGGATAGGTGAATGAATGAACGAACACATTGATTTTGTTTGGGTAAGGCAGTCGTTTCAGACTTTGACCTTTAAACTGTAATATAATATGTCTTTTCTAAGCACTGAGAGGCGCCACTTTATTACTAGCGTGCGCGTTCGCCTACGAATGAATGAAATCTATATTCAATTATATATATATATATATATATATATATATATATATATATATATATATATATACAAAAATGAGGTAAATGTTCACTCGGTGTACATGTAATATATAATAAAATAATAAAGTCCACGTTAGTCCATCATCTTCTTTATATCAGTTTCATACATAGTACTTTCGCTGTCAAGTTACACTGAAGAGCTGTCATGAGACAGCGAAAGTACTATGTATGAAACTGATATTTAAAGAAGATGATGGACTAACGTGGACTTTATTATATATATATATATATATATATATATATATATGCTAATGTGCAATGTGTCTATCCTGCTGTACATAACAGATGTGCGAGCATATCGAAAGAGCTTATCGGTCACGTTTTGGGGATTTCACTTTCAAGAAAAACATAATCAAAATAACTTAGAAACTTATCAAAAGGTATTATACTATGAGAAATTGTAAGTTTAATATTTGTTAAGGAATATGATCATGTTCAGTATTTTTCAATAGTTATATATATAGATAAAAATGCCCACATTCAACATTTAATGCTAAACATTGTTGTTTGGAACAAGATGTCTGGCAGAAAATTTAATAAAAATCAATTTTCAGGTTTGTAACACGAGACAAGGGAGGTAAGCGTTGCTGACATGATTCCTCCATCTTTAATCAAACGGAGCTAAACGGGCATTGACCGCTCCTTATGCCTGGTGAAAGCTGAGGGGAGAATCGCAACAAATTGTTTGTAAAATACTTAACAGTGTATTTCACGACCATCCTTGTATTTGTAAACACATGAAACAAATTCATTTGAGAGAAAAGCCGAACGTTCGTGTCTGGAATGAGATACGAAACCAAAATGTGTAGCTCCTGACTTCCTAATTTAGCATTCTGATCGACATTCAACATGGCGAGAAAATTTGAGGTAAGATACTGTAGGTTAATTTTACAACATGTGTGATTACCATGCTGCATTATGACCCGATTGCTGAAAAAATATCGGAATTATAAATTGATATACCTATTCAATGTTTGTATGTCGTCCGTAGTGATACCATACTGGCGCAAAACGTAGAACATCACCATGCTTGATAATTCGGTTTTCTGTGCTGAAATGATCTTATGTCATGATACGAATCCTAAAGAACAATATTACGGATACTGTCGTATTTCTACACTCATGGATGGTCTTTCTGTACCTTTGTGGTCGTCGTTCCGGTTGAAATAGCCTCACTGACTGATTTAAACAACAGGGTGCCTCAATACGAGAGTAATCGGTTGCCATTCTAAGATTTCAGTGCCAGCCTGTTGATCAACGTCGTTTCACCGATGGCATCTTACATTCGATTCTGTAGAAAAAATACGCATCAGTTTGTTTAATAATCATTTACGAGGAATTTTGCAATACGATCATCACAAAAGTGTGAGGTTATTCATTCTTGGTGTGTTTGTGTGATGGGATGTTCGTCTGTGGCACTGTTGTGATGCACTGCTATCGTAGACAATGGATGACTTACGTTGTGAATATACATTGGCATATACCAATTAGGAGGATTATTTTTATGCTGTGATAATGTAATACACAAGTGTAGACAACTGCTTTCATTTCACCATGCAATGGTCATGAATCTTGCTTCAACAAGGTATCGATGCAGGTGCATGTGCCCTCATTTCAGCATGTAAAAATATGAAATCATAGCACTATAGTGCCTTTACGCATTTGGATTTTTTATTAAATTTGTTATTTGGGTTGATTCTATTAGTCTGATCCATTGGTGTTATATAATATTTCAAAAATAAACAGTTGTGGAAAAAAATGATGATATCTCATACCTTGACCTGATAGTCAAACTCAAATTACTGTGTTAGTGTTGGCATAGATGTATTTTCATTGTGTATTGGTTGGTAACACGAAAAGTCAATGATGGGTGGATCTTGTTTATGCTGACACTGCACAATTTCAACAAGCGATTAACTGAAATGATTATCAGTAACCTTATCCAATTCAATTATGATAGTGTGGATGTATGGCATTTGTATTAGTCATCTCATTGTATGACAAATTCAGCCTTTCAGCATTAAGGAAACCAAATGTATTTACCATGTTTATGTTATTGTTATTTTGACCTTACCACTAAAACAAATCATGTCTATTGAATTTCTGCCAGGCATCATTTTCAGAAAACTTTTGTGTGTATTTACATGGTAATATGTACCGTTAAGTATGACCATGATTACGGGAAGAGGATAGTATTCTGTAGGTGGCAGTGGAGTTGCATTGTCTTCCGATATCGAATGTCTGGAATCGACCCCTCTCATGGCTACAAAGTCAAATTCTTGTCCCCAAATCTCTAAAAGCACCTGAAGACTACATACACTAATATTCTGAAAGAAGTTGTACAGGGAAGAGGGAAATGTCGCATTATGTGTTTCATATGGATGGAGGCTGAAGCTAAAATGATTCAGCAGTGCACCATGTTTGATTTAGTCATCATTGAATCAATACTGTTCCCAATTTGAAAAGTGAGTGTCCACATACAGTTAGTACTGGTACAGTGTATATAAGTCAAATATTCTTCTCGATCATGCACTGTTGGCTTGATCATTGGATATAAATAGGTGAAAGTGAAAATAATAACCTTTTCCCTGTTGCTATATCAAAATATTGATTTATCGTTTCCCTGTGAAATAATATGCCATGAGACTTTGACACAAAGATAATCAGTACTGTGACAGGGTAAGAACATTTTCCCCTCAGCACTTGCCTAAAAACAATCTGATATCAGATTTTGAAATTACATGTGGCCTGTGAAGTTTGCTGTTTTGTAATTATATGTTTTTAACATTAGGTTTGAGAAGAGGACCCCTTGACAATTAGGCTTAATTGTAAACACTGCATTTAGACAGGGGTGCTGATTGGAAATTTCAGTATTGATATTGATATGTTAGTATCTAGGTTAATAATCAGATTAATTATTCTGTGTGCTTATAGCATTGTATAGATATTTATCTGTGTAGACCTGTAATTTAATACAAAATATGACTTGGCTGATCCATTAAATGTTTAAAATTGAGTTTTCAGCCTTCTCCTTGTCCATCATCACAATGATAATGTTAATAAATGTAAATGTTTCTGTGGCAGTAAATTATTAATCAAGTATCAATGTTCATAAATATGTATCAAAACAGTATTGACAAAAACATCGCTGATACATTGACATTGCAATAAACAAAAACATCCTTTCATACAGTAGAAAAAGGAAATGTTTACTGATCTGAAGAGGACATTTCAGAAATGGAGAGTGTCAAATGTTGTCCCTGGTATCATATTGTCCCCGGTCACATATTGTGACATAGGTGTATCATTACAGCCTAAATAGAGGACTGAGAGATCCTGCATCATTGTGCAAGGCCCCGGGAGGAAGTGGAGCAAGGACTGCTTATTTTCTATATTACCTAATCTGGGAAGGGTACCTCTGCCCACTGAACATGTCTGACATTTTGGGGTGAGTTTTTTGTCGGTGTTCATTGTTTTAGTAAGCATGGTCGCCACATGCAAGTGTGGGATGCTTCTTCCTCACAAGACCTCATTGTTGTGAGGAGGAGACACTTGGTTGCAGGTTTATGTATAAGGACACATTATATACCACTCCGCATCTGCTGAAGACACTGAGATATTTACTACTGTTAAACTCAACTTCCCGAGGTATGTGTTCATGTTTAATTAGCTCGAATGGAAGCTGAACATGTGTCAGTTCCTTTGCAATAAGGAATACGATTTCAGTGTTCCCGTTTACTGGTAATTACCCGTTTTTTACTGGTAAAATTAGGCTTGGACCGGTAATTCAAGTGACTGTAAGTCCCTGTGGACCAGCAAATAAAGTACTTTTAAATCTTTGTTGTTAAACAAAACATCGGTGATATTCATATAAGTACATTTTTCGAACAAAGTCAGCTTTTCTGTGACCATCAGGGTTTAAACTTGTCTATTTCTAGGTTAAATATCCAGTTGTAGCGACTTCGTCTCGAAATATTAAAAAATAAAGAAGAAATTGTGACTGAAGTTTGTGTGAATGACATAGATCTAACTAAGTTACTTCAGAGATGACATCTTTGCACTGAACATGAAGTTGAAAGAATTAAAACCAAATAATTTTCATACGTTTTTTTATTTGTTTAAAGTTGGGACTGGTAATTTTTAGAGTTGCAGGTCCACAAGGACTGGCAGTTTCAAAAGCCAGCGGGAACACTGATATTGTATGAAAACATCGCCAAGAAATCAGGGGCATTCAACCTGCAGCCTTAACTCACAATGCTCTTTGAAAATTTGAATCAGATGGATGTCTTGTTCATTAACAAAAAAATTAAAACTTTGGAAGTTCTCAGTCTGAAAAATTGTCTGTCATAAAAAATGAACACTTTGTCTCAATATGTTTTTATATTTTCTATTGCTATTTTGCTATAGGTTAAATAAACCCTATCAAAACTCATTTAATCATGAATAACAGAGAGCCATTGTTGTCAAGGATGACAAAGTAGACAAAACATTTTATAGATAGCAAGTTCTTATTATACTGCAAAAGCAACGTTTCCTGCTTGACAACGACATACGCCGCTATTACACAGAAACGCCACTATTTCAGTATAATAATGAAGTTATTATCTATAATGTTTTTGTCTAGTAAGTCCAAACATGAGAGAAAAGCAATTATCTCGTGCATCTCTTAAGTTTGGTACTGTTGTGAATTGTATATTCCTTTGATTATTTGTCTCATCACAGTTAAGTAAAAGGTCTAAGAGGGGTTAACCTCCTCATGAGATTGGATGCAATGGGTTGTGAACATGTGCAGGGGCCACCCAGGGACATGTCTCACTTGGCTGTAGACCCGTGAAGATCCGGGATCTTCAGCAACCCATGCTTGCCATAAGAGGCGACTCAGAGGATTGGGTGGTCAAGCTTGCTCACTTGGTTGATGCATGTCATCCTATCCCAATTGCGTGGATCGATGCTCATGATATCAATCACTGGATTGTCTGGTACAGACTTGACTATTTATAGACCGCCATCATATACTGATATAGCTGGAATATTACTGAGTGCAGCGTTAAACAACAAACAAACAAACACCTGGCTGTAGTTTTAAGGGGGGCACGGGTGGCCCAGTCGTCTAAGGCGCCGCGATTCGCTGTGCAGAGTTGCGTCCCTTGGGCACGCCAGAAACCTATGATTGTGGGTTCGAATCCCGGTTCGCCCCAATTATGTTTCTAGGTTTGTCAGCACCATGCCGTGCTCGTGGGTTTCACCGAAGTAGTAAACGTCTGAAACCTGCATCACTTCGGGCTTTCCTCCCACATTAAGCTGACACGCCGCGATATGACTGGAATAATGTTAAAAGCGGCGTTAAACCCAACTCACTCACTCACTGTAGTTTTAATTTTAAAGGTTGTTGTCCTTTTCACTAGTTGCACACTGGTGGTTGTGTTGAACCCTGCTTTAGCATGATATAATTTTAGAGGCACGTATATTAGAGGAAGAAGTTATTTTAGGACATGTATGATGTTAAGTATTTAGTGTTTGGAATGGGATTTCAAGAGGTATTCAGCTCAAAGAATTATTCTCCCTCTTTATGTTCAAGATTTCTTGAATCTTATCGTTGATGTGGTTTTTTGGAATGCTTGAAATTGATTTGATGATGTACGAAATGAGTCTAACGTCCAGACATTCATGCCAACAGATACTCTGATACCTGTAAATACTCTACTAAGCATGGTATGGCATGTCGTATAACACTAAATGCTTTATTAGTTATAGCATTGCTCAAAATAGTTTCGTGCACCTGAAGGTGACAATTTTCTTTGTAGGTTTAGATATTTTACTTTCTTTTCTTTTTTGTTTATCTTTCCACAATTTGTAGTGTAGTTCAT